AATCCCCTCCCCCTGGGCATTCAAGATAGTCTTCCTAATACTTCCCTCTTCTTGAACAGTCTCTGCTATCTCTTAGCGGGGAAAAGTTCAATTTTGCTCTATGAAAGGCAAGATTAAAGCTAAGAGAGCTCTGTGCTGCATTGGCAAACTTGGGTTTTATAACTTCCATGCAGGCTGACAGGCTGAAAAAGATTCGGCGAGGTCCTGTGGTCACCTCAGTAACAAAGCTTTTAAAGCTTCCATCATCAGAGGCAACGTGCAGAAGCCTGCTGGTAACACAGGAGAACCGAAAGGGCAGCGAGGGCTTGTGACTACAAACGTGGCTGCTGCTTCTCAGTTCTGAGTCTTAGGGGCTTTTTTGGTCTTTTTAAGCTGGCCTGAACAAACATGCATATATAGATATAGATTTTCCAAAAGAGATTAACCCCCGTTTTCAACCCAGATATTATGGGATATGGTCATTATTTGGTTCACTCAAAATTTATATTTTAACAATACATCAATGTGACAGCTACTTTCTATTAGAGTCATTTTGTTAGGCATCTGGAATGACCAACTGTCCTGATTTGCCCCGGATTCTCCCAGTTTTAGCACCGATAGTCCTGTGTCCCAGGAAAGCCCTGTCTTGGCAAGTAAGGGCAGTTTGTTGCCCTGCTGCTAGCTCTAGGTTTGGACTTCAGGTCTGTATTGCTGAAGTGTCTAAAAGTGGATTTTAAGAGGACTTGCTACAAAAAAAAAAAAAAAGCTGAAAAATTTTAAATCTTCACCATAAATTTCCAGCCATATTCTACTGAAAAGATGATTTTTAAAAAAAAACAACCCAGTGATTGATCTCATATACCAGGCAAGAAATGGTTTCTTACTTTGTGGGGATAACTTAATGTATGGAGGAAATTATACCATACCTAGAAATTGGCTATAATAAATACCACTCCAGTGAGGTTCTGTATTATTATGTTATTTTTTCCTCCAATTTCCACATTTTAAAGCCTAATAAATAATACATAAAATGACAGGCAGACATAACAGCATAAAATAAAAACCTCACATTTCTTTGGTTGTATTCAAGACCTTGTAACCTGTACACTGTAGGCAAACCCTCCAGAGTTGGAGAAATGATGAAAGCAGCATACTCTCTAGGGGTCACACCTGTAGTACCCAAAAGTCTGGCCAAGAAAGAAGCCATTGGACTTCAACCTGTCCCCTTGATCCAATGCCAGATACTTCAAGGAAACCAAAAGACTTCAGTACCTGGACCTGCAAAGTGAGAACTGTAGAGTCAAGATGAGAATTGGCTTCATCCATGTTGGAAATGTTAACGTTTTAATACTACACAGTTAGACATTAGATGGTCTGCTATCTGAAGCATTTCCACCGTGCTGAAGAATTAGTCTCTTTGACCTTGTAGTAGGCAGAATAACAGGTCCCAAATATGTTCAGTCCTAATCCCAGGAACCTGTAAATACATATCCTTACAGATAAAGGGACCTCAAAGATGTGATTAAATGGAGGCCCTGGTGATGAGGAGATTAGCCTGGCTTATCCAGGTATGTTCAATCTTATCACAAGCGTCCTTAAAAAATCAGAGAACCTTTCCTGGCTAAAAATTAAGAAGATGTGACTATGGTAGAAAGACACAGAGAGAGGCAATGCTACTGGCTTTGAAGATGGAGGAAGCTCTAGAAGCTGTAAAAGGCAAGGAAATAAATCCAACCCAGAGAGCCTTCAGAAACAAACACAGTCCTATTGAAACTTTGCTTTTAGCCTGGTGAAATCCCTATAGAATCTAACCTACAGAATGGTAAGATAATACATTTGTGTTGTTCTAAGCCACTAGGTTTGTAATAATTTGTTGCAGCAGTCATAGAAAACTAATACATCTTTTATCACAGTTGCTGTTCAATAATGCCTGGGTAGTATTTTGCTTCTAACCTCAATATTTGACCATTACCTCATATTTAATTTGCTTCCATGTGTATACTTTGAAAACTAAATTTAGCACTAGACCAAATATTCTCAAAATCCCCCTGACAGTACAGAATGATACTTCCTTTTACTTGTCTACTTTGTTTAGCTTCTTGCCTTTGTTAGCACAGAGACTACTTACATCAGGAACTACTGAGCATAACTGAAACCACTGATTTTGTGTGAAGGAAAAATGCTTTTAGGGGAGTGGAAAATGGCAAATAACCTCTTTAAAGTTGTGTGCAAAGACACGGTAGTTCACCAGGTTCACAATGTCTCCCTAGGGTGCTCTGGATGTCACAATGACTGGAAGATGCCACAGCCTTTTGTGAACCAAGGACAGGGATACCAAAGAGGATAATGAAGAATTGTCCCATTGGACATGCTAGCAAACTCCATTGACAAACTCTGCTTGGATTGATTTGAAAAATTTAAGCATACTTATTAGCATGACAGAAATCAACTCAAAGAACATCAGATACTTATAAAAGAGTCATTATTAGTAGCATTTGATAGAATACGGGATGTCTCAGCCCTCACCTAAAATACATTAGGTACTTAAATCCAAAAGAACTTGACTATAGGGCAGCAAAAGCGATACATGGTCTTAAAAGCACACATGCACAAAGGGTTTTCTTCCAATCAGCTCTCGACCAGAGATTCTCAACCCTGGCTGCACGTTAAGGTCACCTGGGGAGCTTTAAGGAATACCTATAGATGTTCAGGCCCCAACCATGGAGATTCTGATTCAGTTGGTCTGGGTAGGGCCTGGAATTAGGGTTTCTAGATGTTCCCCTGGAGGCTCTGACATGCAGCCAGGACTGAGAACCACTGCTCTGTCCATAGGGAGCAGCCTCCTGCACATACTCACATGAATGTGGCTGCTCCACAGATTTGAATCAGTTCTTCCCTTCCTGTTTTGTAGTACAGTTATCACCACGCATTCATTGTTCCAAAAAAAGAAATCTGGGAGTTATTCTAGACGTCTTCCTCTCCTTTACTTCTCACCTTTAATCAACAATTCCCTCAGTTCTCCCAAATCCAGCCCAACATTTCCAGACCCAAGACCTCCACTGGTCTCCCTTCCATTAGTCTCTCCCCACTTCTCTGCTGCCTAAGGAATTATCCTGTAAAAAAAAAAATTCTGATTGTGTGCCCCTTTCTGCCTCTCTACTCAGCAGAGAAAATTCAAACTCTGGAGCCTGCCCCTTAGGGTCCTTCCCAGGCTTCACCAGCCTTCTTCTCTAGCCTCATCTCCTCAGTTGGCTACTTTCTGGCCACACCCTGGCCACCCTAAATTTCTAAAGCTTCCTGGAATAAGTCATGCCCTCTGGAGCCTCTGTGTACACTTACACGTGATTTCTTATTCTTGGAATGCCCTTCTCTACTTCTCTGACTGAAGGCACCTCATGGATAGCTCAAAGACCCCTTTCCCTTCAAGCTTCTTCCCCTCCCCATCTTGGTTCTCTCCTCCAGCAGCATCCACCACACCCTGCTCCCACCTGACTCAGCTGGACACAAGCACCTCCTTCTTTACACACTTTTCTCCTCTGTGAGACTGAACAACTCTGGGCCAAGGCCTGTGTATTTTTCATGTACATATTCCCAGTATCTGGCATGCATTCTTTTGTCCATTCATTCAACAGTTTTATTAAATATATAACAAGTGCCAGACACCTTGCTAGATGCTGGAGGCAAATGGTTAGGAAGTTATTTGCTATTCTGGCTCTCGCAGAGCTTGTATTCTTGAAAGGGAGGCAGATGGCTGGATGAGTGTTTGTGGTGAAACAGGAAGGTCCATCAGAGGATTGGGAGCTTTGTTTTGTTTTATGCTTGCATGTTTCCAGTATATTCAAAAGTGAAGAAATGTCAAAAACAGGTTTCAAAAATTATGGCATATTCTGAATGTTTACATTTGACAGAGTTGTATGATGAAGGCCATTGTTTCATTGTCAGTACATCTCTGACAGATCACCTCATTTGGAGATATCCAAAGTCCAAATTTGCAAACCTTATAAACATGAGTTGAGGAAAATTGATCCTCTTATCCTAAGGAAGGTCTGATACCTAGTCAACATGAAATAAATACCTGCTGAATGCATAAATGGATGGATGATTAGCTCCAGTAAAGCAAATCAGGTTATGAGTAGGTTTTATTTTTTATTAGCATTTGCTGTATTCCCTAAACAGTTATGTAAATAAACAATTAAAAGCCCAACAATTCAACAAGTGCCCATAATCCAATGCGGAAAGAAGAGAAGTAGGTAGAGGTATAAATGAAACAATTTCAGCCACAAGTTGACAACTGTTGAAATTGGGTGATGGAGATGTAGGAGTTCATTATATTATTCTCTCTACTTTGGTATATGCTTGGCATTTTTCATAATGAAGTTACATTTTAAAATGTGGGGGGGAATCTAAGTCACTGACTACAGGAAACTGTGTATCTTGGAGTAGGCAAACACATTATCACCCGTCTAGGATTATGGTTACCTTTCAAGTCTACAACAAGATTCAAATGCTATAGCTAGTTCCGAAAGCTAAGTAAGCTTCTTCAAGATGAAACCCCTACAGCATTAGATTGACCTTTTGTTGTTGTTGTTGCTGCTGCTGCTGGAAAAGCCCTTACAATGTTTACAACCATCTGTTAAGAACAGGGTTTACTTTTCTCTGACCTAATCTGCCTCATCTGAGGTTTTATCTTGCACAGGGTATGCCCTCAATGTCTACCACCTATTAATTATGTTTGTGCCATAGGGATACATTCTGTTAAAGCAGCAGCCTCAAAGGCTCTCCAACTCAGGTTTTTAGAAGAAAATGAAAAAATTCTGGATGAAAATCAATTTTAAATATTATTAAAGACAGCCATTTTTTCTTTAAATCCTGAAGTCATGTCACTATTGATAAGGACTCTATGACTGTTTCTTTCAATAAAACATCACATGTTTTCATCTATAGACCACTTAACATTTTTTTTCCTCTTTAAGTTCTGGTTAAATTCAAGATTCTAGAAGAAAATATGTCAGAATTCTTACCTCTTCAGTTCCTAAAGCCTGAGGCTCACTGGCAGATCTGGCTGTTGAGAAAGCAGAGAGAAAAATGAATTTTTTAAAAGGAAAAATAACATGATACACAAGAGCTGGATGAGCAGAATGAATGAAGTTTCTGATACGGGGGTGGGTGGTAATGGCAGTGTAGTTATAAGGGCAGGAGGTCTCACAGGTTTACGTTTCAGAGCCTAGAAATGAACCTTTTATTAACTCTTTTCCTTTTAAGAAATACATTTGTGAAATTGGAGTCCCTTTCTTTGTGAAATCCCCTAGCGTGCAAGAAAACACGAAAACACAAAGCACCCACTTAGGAAACTAGACGAAGCAGAGTTCTTGGTGGGAGAGGCTGTATACCAATGGAATGAATAAGAACCATCTTTCCTTCTGACCTAACCTAATTTGCTCCAAGCAGAACCAAAGCAGCAGAGACCAACACAGTCTTGTTCCAGGTATTAGGGACAGAGTTTGAGTGCATACAGTTTGTGTGTATCTGGCCCTTTAGGAGGGTGGAGAGGACACGTTGGTGGTTATAAGAGTATCTTTGGCACCCAAAGCTTCAAAAGGCTGTTTGGAAGTAGAAGACACCTATGCCCTTAGCCACTGATGACCTCTGTGGCTATCGAGCAGAGGTGGCCTACTTTTGGCCAGTGCCGAGTGTGGTTCCTACGGGAGAAAGTTCCTGCGTAGATGAGCTTCTTTATTCCTGAAAAGCTTTACAGCGCTCAGCTCAAAGGGAATTGCTAAAGCCTCAAGGAACACTTTCCCATTCCTATTTTGCTGTGTCTGAGAACAAAGAGATATCTCACATCTAGAATATTATGAATGAGGGTGGAACTCAGATTCACAAGGGGTTCTAGGACCCAATGAACATCAGTATCTCCAGAGGCCTCACATTACTTGAGACTGGCATGTTTGCTACAATGTCAACCCAACCAATTATATTCCCAGACTACCATAGGGGCCATACATTTTTAAATGGGCTAAAGTTATTAGAAAACCATTATCTCATGATTAATGACAGCAAAAAGGAGGAAAAAAAAAAAAAAGCCAAGGGCTAAAAACAACTTATTTTCAGAGAATGAACCCTAGAGTAACAAAGACTAGGTGCAACACGCAAAATAAGCCTGTTCAAGGGGGTTCTGGACCCGGCACTCATTTGTTATTGGTGATAGTGGAAGCTGGCACAACTTCTCTCGAAAGCCGTCTGTTCCTGTTTATCAAGAGACCCAAATATGCTCTCAGTCATTGTTTTAGTGATGCCACTCCATGACTTTAACCAAAACAAACCCAAAATGTGGACAAAGAAGAATTATCAAGGTGTTAGAAATAGCCTAAATATCAATAATTCAACCTATTAAGTAAAACAGAAACTCCACATGATAAAATTTTAAAACAACAAATACAAGAAATTTAAATGGGCCAGGTGCAGTGGTTCACATCCGTAATCCCAGCACTTTGGGAAGCCAAGGAGGGAGGAACACTTGTGTCCGGGAGTTCGAGACCAGTCTGGGCAACATAGCGAGACATGTTCTCTACAAAAAAAGTCAAAAGTTAGCCAGGCATGTTGACGCACACCTGTGGTCCCAGCTACTTGGAAGGCTGAGGTGGGAGGATAGCTTGAGCCCAGGAGAGTGAGGCTGTAGTGAGCCATAATCATGCTACTGTACTCTAGTCTGGGTGACAGAGTGAGATGCTGTCTCAAAAAAGAAAAAAAGCTTTAAATGATGAAAAAATGCATTTTATATTCTTTTTACTTAACTTTATTTTAAAATTAATAAATACTGTTACTTTAAAAAGTAACTTAAAATAAGGTTACTTTATTATGAAGTAAAAAGAATATAAAATGCATTTTTGTCATTTAAATTTTAAAGTAAAAATATAAAATATTACATATAGTGTGAACTCAACAATTTTCTAATATACATATTTACATATATTAATATTTTTAAGATATATATTTTCTATGTCAATATATTTTTCTAATATATACATACTAACATATATTATATACATACATATATATGTTGTATTATATAACACATTTTCTAGTATAATTATACACAGTATCTTTCTAATATATAAAGACTAGAAGAAAATACATCAAAATATAAACAATATGTTTCCTCTGTTCAGTAGAGTAACCAAAGTGGCAGAAATTGCTAGATATACCCCAACA